TGAATTCTTTTTTTTTAATACACAGGGTAGGGGCCTAATTGATAAGGAGTACCAGGGCTGTAGTGTTAGGAATATAGATAAGATCTCTCCTTACAGCCCCACCCATACCCACACAACCAATTTGGCTCCAGAACCAGTGCAACTTATCTTTTCTAACATTGGTGCCACCATCTATGTGTTTTTAAGATGTTGGCTGCCATAAACTCCCCCTGCTGCTCTTCCTTGTGTGTTCATGTCAAATGCCCAGGCTTCCAGTGGATCTATTTTGACCTTGAAGTGATGGGATGTTGGAAGCAGGTGAGTATTTGTTGAAAATCCAGTCATAAAGTTGGCAAAGTCCATGGAGCTTGATTAAAGTGCCATCCATTGTCAACTTTTTTTCAGCCTGCAGGTTATACATAAATAAACAACTGAAAATAACAATTTTTAAAAAGAAGAGAGGCAGTTTTGGGAAAAGGGATTTTGGACATGACATGGTGGGGTGAAAAAGTGAAAGAGCTTTTATAAGTATCTGGGAATATCCTGAACTGTATACCCTGAAGTATTTTTCTATGACAATCCTTCAAAAAGACAATGCTGGCATTTGGACTAAGAGCACCCCGATCATGAAACTTTCCATATTGCTGCCTACACAAATAAAGGGTTCTAGTGCACTCTAAATTTGTGCTGGGATATAGACAGAAACAACGCTATTGATAATAAAAGGTTTTGATCTAATAAATGCAAAATTTTATGTTTCATATTGTCTATTTTAAAATGAATTTTTGAATTCTGATATTCTAATAAAGTAAATTTCTAAAGGGGCTGGAGCTCATTTAAAAAAAATATTTAATATACTCTGATTTTTGTAATTAAACTGTGTAAGTGACACAGGTAAAATTTGACTCAACGTTCAGTACACATACGGTCACATAATACACACATTTCCATATTTACTCATAGTAAAATATGCATCTAGCCTTTTATTTTTATTCTTATCTAATATAAATAGGTTGCGTGTCTCTGTCTGTAGTTACTGAGTATAAATAAGCTTATAATTTTGGTGTAACACATTTTTTAGAAATTTCACTGGGTAGGGGCAGCATTTGTTAAATAACTAAAATATAAGATGTCTTAATCTCAAAGAAAAAGTGAAAGCTCAAAGTTCCTTTGAGACACCATGTATTGAATGATTTGATGATCCTAACCCTGAGCTGTCATGATCTTGTGAGAAGGGCCCTATCTGTGTGTCTATACTCTATTTTTCTAGGTCATTACTTACTTGAGAGCAACCACTGTTCATTTGACACTGTCCTGGATTGTAACAATGAGATTTTCTTCATATGGTTATGTCATGTGGTTGAAATAGTTTCAGACGAGATACGTTTAGTAGTACTTTTAAATATTAATATTGGCTATATACAGATGTTTATATGATGGCATTGTTAGCATGTAGCCCCATATCTACAAGAAGTGTTAAAGTCTATTCACTACAAAGGAAAGTGTTTAGGATTTTAACAGCTAATTAGCAGATATTGTTCAAATATTCTAAGTGTAGTTTTGTTGGGGGGAGCTCATATAATCTATAGATATAATTAGTTGGGTGGACAGACAGACAGACAACTTGCAAAATTTAAAGGAGCGCACTGGCACTCCTCCCACAGTAAGTTGTCAAGTAGGGAACAGTTTAACAACCATCACTCTCCTGCTTGCTGTCAAAAACTCCTGCATTGGGGGGTGGAGCCAGCACCTTACCCGAGATGGTCGCACTTTGCGAGAGTTCCATGTGATCGGTTTTATGAACCTGAATTCCCGCGGTTCAGGCTTCTTGAAGCTCTCCAAATTGGGTCAGTTATGGTGGCAAAATGATGGGGAGGTAATCCAAAAGGCGTGAGCGTCAGAGCCTTACTCAGGCAGACTCAGGCTAGCTTCAGCTAAACTCTAGCCAGGCCCGGCATACTCTTCAGCATCATCTAACAAAGACAGCAAAGACGAGGTTCCAGAACCACCTCCAGCAGTGCGGATGAATACAAAAAACCCCATGACCTGAGAAGATAGCACTCCCTCTACAAAAGCTGACATCAAAGCCTTAGTGAAGGAGGTACAGTGTATATTACAAGCTGATATGGCATTAGTTAGAGAGGAGGAGATAATCCTAACAGGTCGAATTGCATCAGTTGAAGAGGATGTGGGGATCACTAGAGTAGTTCAGACTGCCATGGATTCTGCTATCCTTACCTTACAGATACGAATCATGCTGAGCTGCGTGCACGAATGGCGCTATTGGAAGACAGAGCCAGGGTCCGAAATGTCTGTGTCAGGGGAGTACCTGAAACTGTCCCAAATGTTAAATTTTTACTGATGTACTGCATCATGCCTTGCTTAAAGGGGCTCTCCAGTGCCAGGAAAACATGTTCGTTTTCCTGACAATGCAGGACCCTACAGTACCCCTCTCACTCCCAGCCCCCATCCCAAGTTAAAACCCCTTCAGTGATTTACCAGAGTCCAGGGCTGATGTTCCTTGGTGCTGGGTCAGGCTCCGACTACTCTCCTGACGGCTGACGGCGGCGGGGGAGACCTAATGCGCATGCGGGGAAAGGGTCGTGCACGCGCATTAGACCTCCCCATAGGAAAGCATTATTCAATGCTTTCCTGTGGGGATTTCGGTGACGCTGGAACACTTTTCGTGTTCTAAGAACACAGAAGTCCCTCTAGTGGCTGTCTAAAAACTGCAATAATTACACTTGCAGGGTTAAGGGTAGTGGGAGTTGGCAGCCAGACCACTCCAATAGGCAGAAGTGGTCTCGGTGCCTGGAGTGTCCTTTTAAATGTATATGCATTGTTTTTTATGCTGAATTAAATAAAATAATGATTGACAAAAAAAATAAACTCCAGCTAGCTCCATGAAGCTGGAACCCTGCTGTGCAGGGTTGACTAAGTAAGTGAGAGTATCATCTAAGCACTCTTAGCTAATGAGTGCAGCCCTGCATGGCTGGGTTTAGCCCAAGAGCTAACTTCAACAGAGTAGGTGGAGGTAGGTGTCTGGTGGACGCCAGGTAGGTTTAAACAGAAAATAAGGAAAGCAGTTCAAGCTCTATATTGAAAGCCGAATAAATATAACTCCAACCTTAGCTGAAACTGGGCACTCACAGAGCAAGGGAGGAGGATGTCTTACTCCACACATAGAAGTACATATTTCTTCCCAGCTCCTGTTTTTTTGGGGTGATACCAGCTAACAAACAAGGGAGCTGGAAGGAAATTAAAAACTCGCAGAATGTGGCAAAAGAATGCAAGTAAAAGAAGAAAATAATATTTTATAAAAAGTCATTGCACACAAAACAAGGGTTTGAGCTCTCCTACTTTTGTGTGTCATGTATTTATTATGGACTATTATATTTTTGGACAACTTGCACTCTTTTTCAATTTCTCCCCATCCCCCATTTATTTATTTTTTGGGTGGTATACCAACTGGATTTCTAATTGTACAGCTTTCAAACCTTTCTTAAACTGTTTGACTACATACTCTAGCAGGTTGCCAGGACACATCCAGCACCATTTCAATAACGTTTTTGTCCAATTTTGACTTGCTCATTTCCATTTTTCATCTTTTAGTAGGGGTTCTTTGGAATTAGTTATTATTCTTCAATACTCTGTGGGTTATGCCCTTGCGAGTTCTTGGAATGTTCCTTTAAGCTGACCTATAACGTTTCAATCTTTTATGGCTATTTTGGTATATCTCTATCACAACTCCATATTTACTGACCTTATTTAAAGCATCTAACGTATGTTGGTAAAGTGAAACAGTTTCTCCTTCCAATCTTAAAGATTTTGCCATTAAATGTCACAAAATTAAAATTCATCACATAAACAAGAATAGTTACAGGTATCTAATGTATTGTTGAAACTGACATTAAGTAGTCCATGACCTTTTATTCCAAGATATTTCTATTTTTAACAGCATTGGGGGGTTTTCTGGTTCTGTTTACTGCACCTATGTGATTAAAGATCTACTGTAAAATATGAACATAAAGTGGCTCTTTTTACTCACCAAGTATAAAAGACCAAGTCAACATTGTGTATGTATACAAATTGACTTTGTACATCAAGGTAGTTAGAATCACAGCAGATGTACGTAATATTATATATATTTATCTAAACATTGTATCCTCCAAAATCTCCATCATTGTGGTTGTAAATTGATGCTCTTGAACTTAATTATTTATACTTAAAATTACCATTTTCCAGCTGTGCATGGCCAATAGTATAGAAATAACAACCAAAAATTATTTTATCAATATACATGTACATTTTATTTGTCATCAACTTAACAAGGACAACGTGTATGTGGCAGGTTGTATACCTTGTATCTTGTATACCTTTCTACATTTTGGCAGTTCCACAGGGCACATGGTGTCCATTTCCTGTTTAGGTGATATGAGTATATACTGCAGTTCTCCATCTTCATAGGAACAATTTAGCTAAAATTACTAAATTTGTGTTGGTACTAATGTATCTATTATTATTATTATTGGTATTTATATAGCGCCGACTTATTCTGCAACACTTTTACAATATTATGAAAGGAGGTAAATTTAACAAAATATGAGACAATTACAAAATGATACAGGAGCAATAGGTAGATGAGGACCCTTCTCAAACAAACTTACAGTCTTGAGGAGGTGGGGTGTAAAAACACAATAGGGCAGCAAGAGGAACAGCAACCAAACTTTGAATAATATGTGCTTAAAATAAGAAACTCTGATCATTCATCCATCTGTCCATCCAGTTATCTATCTGCCTGCCTGCTTCTTTATATATCTGTCTGTCTGTCATCTCTGTCGCTCCCTTATATTTTAGAAAGCCTTAGTATGCCAGGTGAGAAATAAATATGCAAAGAAAATCTACAGCAAAAAATAATAACAAATCTTTTACTTGAAAACAGTAGACAATTGAAGAAAGCTCAAATGAATCTTAATAAACTTTCAACTCCTTTCATTCCTTAGATCCCTCTGTGAGAAAATGACCTTTCTTACGAGTGAATGATGAATTGCATGTTTTTTTACATGAGATTTTCTCGCTCTCAATAAAATCTGGTGGAATCATTGCATAGCATTTCAATATCTTCTTGTGGTTTCAATTTTGTTTCCAATTTTATTTCAGAGACATTCACATCCACACTAATATTTTAAAGTGGAATTTATTGTCCAGAGTTAGATCGTGTTTGGCCTAAACAAGATGGCAGATGGCCTGGGATACCATATTATCAAATGGGGTACTATGATTCTCTGGTCATGTGTCCAGTTAAAGGCAAATCCTTTGGGATTGACAGTTTCAGCAATGGATTTAAGTCATTTTCTTTTAAATGTGTCTTTCCTTTAATTTGATTTCTCATTGGTAACATGGTGTTATGAGAGTTGAATTCATTAGCAAGCAGTGGCAAAACAATATCATGACATTGTGACTTCATGTGACAAACTGCACATTAAGTAAATGTATTTTTGTTTGGTTGCATCATGTAATCACTGGCTTTGACTTTGCTCAGAAAACATATCTGAGCTAAATAACAATTTGTTAAATTCCCATTTTCATTCTCAAAATACAATTAACCTATGTAGTGCCTTAGAACATAGCTGGACAGTTTTGCCGTTGTATATCTTGCATCTGTTATACTTAATAGTTGTTCGCCTTTCTTAGCAGTTGCTTTCCCGACTACACTTCCAATTCTTCCTTGTAGCTGGAAAATAACTGAAAATAACAGTCAAACCTTAAGATAACTGCAGTCTTTATTCAGTCATCAAAATAAGATAAGACAGGAGGAACATGCAGAACAAATTACTGATGTGTTTCGTACTTCTCTAGCTCTTATTCATAGGTATATATCATCCCAATCTTCCCTGCTACCTACCCACTCTAAGGAAGAATAAAATTGTTTTTTGGTTTTTTTTGTACGCTAACATCTTTGCAGCTTATTCTAAAAGTGGGTTGTGCTTGACAAGAAGAAGAAGACTGATACGTTTTTCCATGGTTGCATGGTTGAACTTTAGGCATGCCCCATAGAGGACATTTATGTACTCTCACTGATACCAATAAACAGTAATAGAACACAATCTACTGGTAAGAATCCAGTGTGATTTTATTACAAATTCCCAATTCCAAATACATTTTTAGTTAGATAGAAAAAGGGAGATCTCAGGCTCTCTATAGACTATTTAGTGTTCATAAATACCATGAAGACCATCAATCCTATACCCAATCTCAATATCCTTGTGAAAAGCCTGACTTGAACTTCATGTTAGGTCCATTACTGCATTTATTAGTAATTAAGGGTGTAAACATGAACTAAATCTATTTTAAACAGCAATACCAGACAATTTTCAAGTTATAGAGTGCAGAACACTGGATATTGGAATTCAGATAGCTGAACCACCTTAAAATGGATAATGGGTACTTATGCTTTCTCTTCACCAGTTCTGAGTGTGTGTTACTGTATTTGTTAGATGCAACTAAATAACCATACAGTGTGATCACCTCTCAGAAGAGTACTATAAGAGGTAGACAGCTACCTTTGGTCACTACCTGTCCTGGTGACCTTTAGGGCTCTTTCTCTATTGTCCATGGAGACATGGAGCCATGTTGAGGCACAGCTGGAGCAATTAAGTCACCAGCTATTGAGTTGAACCTCTTGTCTGTTCCTGACGGGCTGCACAGTGGAAAAATAGTTGGATCCTCAAATCTTCAAGGAGCTGGCACCTGAATATTGGAGTTACACTGATCAGCCACAACATTTAAACCACCTGCCTAATATTGTGTAGGTTCGTCTCGTACTGCCAAAATAGCTTGCTGTGTCAAGGCAAGGACTCTAAAAGAACGTGTCCTGTGGTATCTGGCACCAAGACATTGGCAGCAGATCATTTAAGTTATGCAAGTTGGAAGGTGAGGCCTCCATAGATCGGATTTGTTGTTCCAGCACATCCCACAGATGTTTAATTGGATTGAGATCTGGGGAATTTGGAGGCCAAGGCAACACCTTGAATTCTTTGTCATGTTCCTCAAACTAAACTATTTCTGAAAAATTTTTGCAATGTGGCAGGGTGCATTATCCTGCTAAAAGAGACCACTCCATTAGGCAACACATGTGCCATGAAGTAATGTTTGTGATCTGCAACAATCTCTAGGTAAGTGGTACGTAAGTGGTAGGTAAGTAACATCTGTATGAATGTCAGGACCCAAGGATTCCTAGCAGAACAATGTCCACAGCATAATACTGCCTCCACTGGCCTGCCTTCTTTCTCATAGTGCATGATGATGCCATCTCTGCCCCAGGTAAACAATGTACACTCATGATTTGTCCTAACACCTTTCTATCATGGCAAACATTAAATTTTTCAATAATTTGAGCTCCAGTAGCTTTTCGGACCAGATAGGTTAACCTTGTCTCTCCACGTGCATCAATGAGCCTTAGGTGCCCATGACCCTGATGCCTTTTCACCAGTTTTCCTTCCTTGCACCACTTTTGGTAGCTACAAACCACTGCATACCGTTAACACCCCACAAGACTTGTCATTTTTTAGGTGCTCTGATCCAGTTGTCTAGCCATCACTATTTGGCCCTTATCAAAGTTGCTCATATTTTTTTGCTTGCCCATTTTTCCTGCTTCCAGCACATGAAATTCAAGCACTTGTTGCCACACATCTCAGACCTCAATGTAAAAATAACCTTGCTAAAAAGTGCTGGGATATGCAGGAAAACAGAGGAATATCCTGCCTTGATGGTGCAAAGAACATAATGCTGTCCACAAGAATTAATCAGACTGTATAATAGGACTATATAAATATTATTTTAAAAATAAATTTTTTATATGTGCATATATTACATATATTTTAATGATGACAGACAGCCACCTTTTGCACAAAATAAGTGCATTAAACAATGGCAAGCAACAATGGCAAGTCTGTCCTTTGTCTTTCTGACAAATAGGTTTAAATGATTGAGCAATACATACATACCTACAACATTTCAAATGGACAAATGGGATACTTTCAGTTTAGAGGTGTGGCCTGCGACGGGGCTGAATTTTTAGGTAATCACTAATCACAAAAATAATATTTTAAGCAACTAAAATGTCATTTACATAAAAAAGGTGGATATTAGGATAGAAAAGAGAGACAGAGGTATGTGCAGGGATGTGTCTACCGCGAGACAAACAAGGCATTTGCCTTGGGCGGCAATTTCCAGGGGGGCGGCAAAAAACACTGCCCCCAAATGCCCAGACAAATACCTTGTTTGCCTCGTTTTATGGGAGCCCAAGAGCTGGCCGGCTGGCCACCTTTGGGCTCCCCCGGGACAGGCGGCCAGTTGTTTCCCAGGCGGGCGCTCTAGGTTTTCAGCAAGGGAGCACTTTCCCCTGAGCTCTCTGCTCTGCTCCCTTGCGCGACCCTGTTTGTCAGTGTATATGAGAGTGTGGGGGGGTGCCCGAGCACCGTCCCGACTAAGGCAGCCCAAATCCTAAATATACCACTGGGTATGTGGGCCCTAAATGGAAATTATGTACATATGTCAAACAGGGCCGTCTATAATATGAATAGGACCCCGGGAAAAGCCTTTTCTTGGGCCCCCTGGGCCCTGTCACTGCACCCTCCCTCCCCATTACGCCCAACCCGCAATCACACTGACAGACATACTGACACATACACACACAGACAGACACATTAAAACATTCGCAGATACATACTGACACACACATACACTGACACAAAAATATATACTGGCAAACATTGACACACATTCAGACATACTGATACACACACAGACACATACATACTCACAGACACATACACTGACAGATATATTGACACAGACACACACAGACACATACACTGACAGGCATATTGACATACACAGACATACTGACATACACACACACACACACTGGAACACAGTGAGACATACTGACATACACACACAGACATACTGACATACAAACACACAGACATACACACAGTATGTCTGTGTGTGTTAGTATGTCTATGTGGTGTGTTAGTATGTCTGTGTGTGTATGGCAGTATGTCTGTGTATGTCAGTATGTTTGTGTGTGTATATGTCAGTGTGTGTGTGTGTATGTCAGTGTGTGTGTATGTCTGTGTGTGTGTATGTGTCAGTATGTCTGTGTGTGTGTGTGTATGTCAGTGTGTCTGTGTGTGTATATGTCAGTATGTCTGTCATAGACACACACAGACATAGTGACATACATACACAAACAGACATACTGACACAGACATACTAACACACACACATACTAACACACAAACACATACTAACACACTAACACACACACACAGACATACTAACACACACACATACTAAAACACACACACAGACATACTAACACACACACATACTAACACACACACACACACACATACTAACACACACACATACAGACATACTAACACACACACACAGACATACTAACACACACAGACATACTAACACACACAGGCATACTAACACACAGACATACTAACAAACACACACACACAGACATACTAACACACAAACACAGACATACTAACACAGACACATACTGACATACATTTAGCCACCCTCCAGGTTCTTACCTTTTTATGGAGGGTGGTTTCCCTGGGGTCCAGTGGCAGGCTGAGGCAGATGGGAGTTCTTCTCTGGAACTCCCCTCCTCCCTGCCTTCCTCCTCCCGCGCGGCTATCTCCGGTGGGAGGAAGTGACACGCGGTACTCACTTCCTCCCAGCCGGTACAGGAAGGGGCCCGGTCGGGCTGTTTAAGCGTCACAGCGCCCGACTGGGCCCCTTCTGCCACATGCCCACAGGGTGGCCCTTAGTGCATGGGCCACCCGGGGGCCTCCTTAGTTGTTGGGCCGGTGCGGCTGCACCGCCGGCTGCCGGGTACATGGGGGCTGCTGAAATCGCGGGGCCCACGGGGCAGCTGCTCTGGGGCCCCCAGGAGCAACTGGGCCCGGGGCAGCTGCCCCGTTTGCCCCGCGCTAAAGACGGCCCTGATGTCAAATTAATTTATGTCATCTGAGCAAAACAATACTTACTAAACTATGATAAATACCTCAATGGAAAAAAAGGATGGTTTTGGAATTATCGATTTGTTATCAAGTCCCTTCATTTTAGAAAACCATAAATATTGTCTTACTTACATGGCTAATAATATTCTAAATACTTTAACACATCATAAAGCACTTCCTATAACCATTGTGGGATTCAGTGAGTTTAGCAACGATATGATGTAGCATTAACTTTTTAGGTGAATGTGGGAAAGGTAACCTCTTTTTCAGGTAAATACTTAAAGGGCCACTCCACTGCCCAAATAAAAAACAAAACATACAAATCCCAGTTTACTAGATGTACCACAAATGAAAACATACATGCATGCATTCTATCATGTATTTTTTTTTTCATTGGGGGTATATCTGGGGGTAAAACAGTTTGAAAACATTGCAGATATTTTGTCCACTCTCTTTGCAAGCCCTCCCTTTCTTACCCAGCACAGACAGCCTGGTTTTGTAATCACAGATTTTTAAATGCAGACGTCTTCTCAAGGCAGGTGCTCTGGGCAATTGCTGCCTCTTGAGTTTACCTTCACTGATCTAAACAAACCAAAAAGTAACAGGACCTGTTGTCTGATTGACAGCCAGGCGGTTTAACATGGTTCGTTTATAATAGTTTAAATTTTATTGAAATCTGTGATTTTTGTAAAATGAAAAAAAGAGGACACACTCTTCACACATAAATCATTTCAGTAAGCTAACCTGTTTTAGGGTTCCTAAATATCCCAAATAAATCTTGTTATATCATGACATGTGTGACATAGCATAGGCTCTTTGAGGGTTAAAGGAACACTATAGCCTTAGGGACACAAACATGTATTATTAGGTGTCCCCTACAGAAGCATTAGAAGACTGTTGCACATTCATGGCAAAATGTTACATCGCATTGAGGTATAATCGAGTTTAACTCATTAATAACCGTGCAAGCCCCTCTAGTGGTGTGTTAATCCTGCGATGAAGACATTGCTTGCTATTCCTGCAAAATGGCAATGATGTACATTGCAGGGGTAAATAGACAGGGACATGGCATTTACTTAAGGGTCCCTTTAAATGTGGCATCCCAGAACATACATTTTCTTTTTAAAAGCAGTGTTTTAATAACAATTAAAACATAGACCTTTTGCCAGTTGTAAGGTATTTACTGTATTATAGTATAAAGCATAGAATGCTTTTTAGACTTGCTGCACTCGTCAGAAAGTATAATTTAACACAAGTGGCAGGCTAATGACTGGGCTTTGGAGCATTATGATCAACAATGGCTAGTACAGCCGCGTCAGAGTAAAAGTGTCTCGGAGAAGTGTTGACCTCATTTTTTTGCCTCTCACTGTGAATTTAAGCTGTGAGTGGGAACTAGTTTGGGCATGTGGTACAGCACTTACTGCAGCTTCTGCCAAGGAACAAGATTTGTGTTTCTAAGGAGATACAACAAAAGGGAGCTGTCACAGAGCAAAAGTGTTCAGCGTTCAGAAAGAACTAGGCACAGAAGAATAGAGACAGATATGTTTGGTAATACTATACCCTAGTTACAATGCCCCATTCTTTGAAAACATATACGGTGATAAAACAACAAACAGTAGGTTTTCTCGTCTGCAACAGAGAATATTGTGAGTTATTTGAGAATCCGGCTGGATGAAATCAGCCACAGTCTGCTACTATCATGTGATTGTGCCAGACAGTATTATTCGTAAATGCTTTGGGAATTACTAAGGTCAGAGATCTAGAGCAGAATTAGGGAGCCGAAATCTAGCAATTTGTGATGTCGTCCAAAGGCCGTCATAAGTGAACATTGTAGAGTTTATCTGTAAAGTGGGAATTGTGCATGTTAAGTCAAAAAGGGCTATTCACTTAACCCCGAGTTTTTACAAATGAATTTTGAATGGAAAAACTGACTATGGAGAGTTTTTACAGATCAGTTATTTTTAACTAGGTTTTGCCATATTGGAATTCATTTGCGAAAATTCGCAGTTTGATGAAAGTAGATGAGCTGGAAAAATAGCTAAGCTAAAATAAATTTAGCAGTTTTGATATTTTTACCTAAAGTTTACCAGTTTAAACATAACACAATTCACTGCATAACCTTCTATCTCCCTGAGGATGATCGCAGTTCTATTAAAAAACAAACCAGATGATTCACTTACTAAACTATGAATTGTGGACAGGGCCGGTGCAAGGATTTCTGCCGCCCTAGGCAAAAATCCATTTTGCCGCCCCCTCATGTCACTCTCTCACTGACAGACAACACTGGCAGACACACTCACTCACGGACAGACACACATAGAATCTCACTCACTGACAGACACACACACACATAAATTCACTGACAGACACACACTCACTCAATGACAGACAGACACACACAGACACACACACAGACACTCACTGACATACATACACTCATTCACTGACAGACACACTGACAGTCAAAGACACACACTCACTGTCAGACACACACACAGGCAGACACTCACTGACAGACATTCACTCACTGACAGACACACACACAGACAGACACTCACTGACATACATACACTCACTCACTGACAGACACACACACACACACACACACACACACACACACACACAGACACTCACTGACATACATACACTTACTGACAGACACACACACAGGCAGACACACACAGACAGACACACACACGGGCAGACACTCACTGACAGACACTCACTGACATACATACACTCACTCACTGACACACACAAACACACTCACTTACAGTCAAACACTCACACACTCACTGACACAGATTCAGAGATTCAGCCTCCTTACCTCCATGGGGTCCAGTGTGGGGCAGCTTCTCACTCCTCCAGCGCACTGTTTAGTATGCCGGGGGCCGGAATGACGTCATATTCCGGCTGCCGGCATCACAGAGGGCGCGTGAGGGAGGAGTGAGATGCTGCAAAAAGAGCCTCCCTTGCCGCCCACACTGCCGCCTGCCTGCGCTGGGCGTGCGGCTCAGGACATGGGGAGCCCACCAGGAAATATCCCTGATTGTGGATATCCAAACTGCAACAACGAGGCCAAAACAAAACCAAAAACAAAATGTGGACTAAAAATCTAACTAAAAAAATTAGCAAAAGCTTGAATGTGTCCAATTCACCCAGTTTAGAGAATAAACACCTGTCTCTCTGTGGGTAATGAGAGTTGTATTCAATTCCTACACCAACCTGATGATTTAATCGCTAAATAGTGTATTATGGAAATGCAAAAAATCAATTTAGTCTAAAAAAAAAATAAAAAAAATAGAATTTTTGACGAAAGTTTAAAAATGTGGTTTCAACTACCAAAATTAGGATTCTTGTGAATACACCCCTACCGATTCAGGTTCAAGTTCTAACAATATGGCACAATAAGAGTAGATATATATATATATATATATATATATATATATAATTTTTTTTCACATAATAATTTTGCAAGGTTGATTGATGCCATTTCGAACCAATTTTAGAAATTGTCGAAGCTGAACTTCAGCATGTGCAGCCACATGCTATCAGTTTCCACTACCTTCTAGTTATAAATATCCCAGGCTGTGCTCCCTTCACGTTGCTATGTGTAAGACTTGTGTAAACTGTTATGTATGTTATGAGGTATAGCTTGTACAATCACAACAACAGCTGTAACACTAGAGGGTGAAAGATGTTCTTTCTGTGATCTAAAATGAAGGTAAGATTGTCAGTTTGCATTGAAATGCTCTCACTGTTACTACCTGCTTCTAGTCTTTACTATATTGGGGTTGTTAATAAAACACAATTCAGATGCAAATTACTAAAAGTGGAGAAGCATTAGAAACATTGTGGTTCCCGTGATCACTGCTGCACATTCAGAACTTGGCAATTTTGCACTGTTATTGCTAATTACAGGTAATCTTTTAAATACTCTTATGCTATGGAATTTAGAGGATCAGTATAAATAATGAAAATAACAATAGAAATAATATGTATCACTTTTATAAAATATATTTATAATAAAGATAAATAGACAAAATGACAGACAGACAGACAGAGACAAATGGACGGCAAGACAAACAGACAGGCAGATTCATATTTTAGAAGTATAAATTATGAAATCAATACTGTTATAAATTGTGCATAGAACATTTATATTACATTATTGGTAAACCAGACTTACAAAACAATCTGCTACTGAAGAAAGTTTGGGCCAGCTGCAACCGTCAACATTTACAAATGTCAGATTAAAAGTCCTCCCCTGTGTTATTCCTCAATGATTGTCCAATGCCCCTGGATTGCCCTATGTTCAATGCCCAACACCTTCCAAACACGAATACTCTTTAGAAAAGCTTTTCTATGGCTTATCATTCATTTATTTACAGTATATCTAGAATACACAAAAGAAACCGTGTAAAAGCATTTATCTTTTTGTTTCTTTACTTGATTCTAAACTACAAACCTCCTGCTTTATGAATAGAAGATAACAGGAAACCATGTAAAGATATGTTACAATTTATATTTACTCGTAAAAAAAAGTAGGTTTTAAATATAAAGAAAAATAGATGTAATAAGCAGACCTGTGAGATTATATTTTTCCTAATGAACAGTGATGGAGGCCAATCGCAGGTGTCTCTGCACTGTAATACCAATGATGCTCAGACAGCCTAAGAGAAATATAGTTCAGAAACATTTGGGGTGCACGGATTAATCATCACTGATATAATCTATAGGCAGCAGCACTACTACGAAGTGTCAGTATGCACATATATTAGGTAATAATGTGTGTATTATTATATGGCTATAATCAAACAATAAATTCTAGGAGTCCAATTCTCACCCACACCAAGAATTCAAGAATCCCATTTCACCCTTTTTTACCAGGTTCCCTAACCTTAATTTCCCAAGTACCCTCCTAACCATGATACAAAGTGCCCCCTGAACCAATGTGATTTCTCACACTAAGTCTTCCCCAACGCTAACCCTGGCAGAGACACTATGGTGAGATGTTATATGATGCTCAAAGCTTAATTTTTAAAATGCATTCTCACATCTATTCCACATTATCCTGCATGCTCTTAAGATCTCTGCAACCTGCAGGGTGAAAGATCACCTCCATAATCTATTTTCATTCCCAGACTACCATCTTCTTGCCACGGTCTTTTTCTATCAATCCCGAACGAATCACCACTGAATCCCAGAATTACCATTGCCCCCAACTGACACCTTTAGGTCCTTTGGTCTGTGTCCCTACTCTTAGCCCTAATGGAACCCTCATAACTGCAATTAACTATACGGGTTCAACCCTACTACAATTCATCTTGCAAGCCCTGGTTCCATCATTCAAAGTCACATCTTTTGCTTTGATACTAGCTCCCCTGCTTGTCCTACTTTATTTTATTGGAAGAGGACAGCATTTAAGGGGCTAAAAGACAATATTCCTGGGTTTAGGGGTCGCTAGAGGTGGGGTTTCGGGGAGGTATCACCTAGCTCAAGCCACAGTTAATTTTAGGATAGAGTAGCATCACTGTAACAGTGCAAAGGACTAGAAGAAAAAAATAAGAAACTGACAAATAGTCAGGATGGAATAGGTAATAAATGGCAAAGAGGAGAGATGTGTAAGGGGAGAAAAAGCATGAGCGTGGATAAAAAGGAACCGAGATCAAAATGATAATTAATGAAAGTGCTTGAAATATATTAATTAATTATGAATGGGGAACTAGGCGATAGGTGAGAGTGTGAACCTATAAGCTGATCAATGCTTCAGACCATCAAATGAAGATGATTGGGAAAGTGAAAGGCCGCCATCTTGAAAGGTTTTGGGATACAATGTTCAGAATTGGTTGAACTCATTAAGGTAAGATGGCATCTGGGACCTCCATTTCAACTTAATCGTGATGAAGCCTGTTATGATGACCAGAGTGATCCTTTAAAGAAAGGTAGACACATTAGCTGGAACCAATGAAGAAGAATGTGCAGGAAATGTAAAGGATAAATGACTAGCTAATTGGTGAAATATAAAAGATAGGATTGTATTTAGAAAACGTGTTATAATTAATAATAAAAACACAAAAAAGAAGAATTTTCATCAACACTTTTATCCCCACAGAATAAAGCCCCCTGTGAAGTTTACAAAAGCACAAGGAGAACTGGCAGAGAAGTATGTTTAGCACAATTTATTTTCTAATCACTAAATTATCATTAAGAAACAAGATTGCATCGATGGCTGCCCATTCCTCAAAGGGTTAAAGAGGGTCCTATGGCTCAGTTTTTGCTTGTGCTGTGATTAGGCTTTGATTGTCACCACTATCAGATAGGACATATTTCCTTCTTACTGCTATTTACTGGACGGAGAATGTATGCTGTCTGATTCTGATAATCCATGCTGTTTAAGGCTTTAGATCACAAAATATGCTTTGTGTTCTGGAACGATAGCAAAGAAAGATCTGCTTTTGACAGAATCAAATCTGGTAACACTGATTTTTCATGCAATTCTTTCAGTACTGCAATTCCATCTTTTCTTTTGTGATGAATGAAGTATGTCAAATTTTATATATTTATCTCATGTTACTTGCCCTAAACAAGCACAGACACTGATTTAATATAACTCCAATATAAGCCATCATGGAATTGGTAAAAGCCTACACGAGGTACACCTTGCAAGGTCAGTCTTTCAATAGTGATGGAAGGTTACAGTCTTCACGTTAGTTAGTAAACAAGTTCATGGGTGAGACAAAAGGGTAATGCTTAAACTAATAAACTGGAGGGAATCCCATGTATTAATGGATGGCTAAATTCATGTGAACTTTAAATAAATAGACAGACAACAGATGGACAGTCAGAAATACAGACAAACTGACCGACAAACAGCGATAAATATTTAAATAGACAGACATAAAGGTAGACAGACAAACTAAACAAAAAAAATGTCCAGGTCAGCTATTTTAGCCTACATTTTGCCATTCATTTTTAATTCTGCTATAATTCGGAGTTTAGTGAAAAAACTGTAAAATTATAGCAATATAAACATAGAAACACAGAATGTGACGGCTGAGAAGAACCATTCAGCCCATCTGGTCTGCCCAATTTTCTAAAGGAAGGTACATATATGAATAGATATATACATTTTTATAGCGTACAGTTTTCTTTTTAATACATGTATTAAAGATGATATTAGAAAAAGCTTAGTATGTCACTGGGGTTGACATAGAAGCTTATTTGTATGCAGGGTATAACATTCTCTGTAGAACAGATTTATGCAACGTCATATACAAACAGCAGTGTTCTATGTGCTATGCATTGTGTACCCTGAGATATCCATCTCAGAAACATTAATGATCCCCCTTTATGGTAAAATAAATTTTGTGCTACAACATTTGTCATAAGTGGTTTTTAAATGTTTTAGTCCTGGGGTTCCAACATTAGAGGGCATAGTGGACCTCGACCTTGTAAACAATGCCCTAAAGCAAATCATTTCATCAGTGGCATGGAAGAAAATACATATTCTGTTTTTTTCATAATTTTATATGTATGTTTAATACCCACTGCCAGCAGGCACACATGGTAGAACCAAAGTCACCAGCATTATAAGTCATACAACATTGTTGTGATTTTTTTCCCTTTAAAATTGAATTAGAAAGCTGCTATCCTAATTATTCCCTCCCATTATTTGAATGCATAAACTGTCTACAAAAAATGTTTTCAGTAAAAAACATTCTGATACATATGTGTCTTTGTTGCAGATTCTCATTATGAGAATTACTTAAAGGAACACTATAGCGTTAGGAATGAAAACCTGTATTCCTAACATTATAGTGCCCCTGTCTCTAGCCACATACAGGTCCCCCCACCAACCATTTTCAATTAAAATTAATAAAATCAAAGTTTTACTTACACTTTTCCTGCTCACTTCTCCGCCTACCACAGCAAAATCGAAGAGGCACAGGCCCAATTCAATGCCCCTCATAGAGCAGCACTGGGGACCTGATGCACATGCACAGCGAGCGCCATGCACATATCTGTTTTCAATGCGTTCCTATGAGTTTTAGCCTCAAGTGACCAAGTTATACTCAGGCAGTGCTGCAGTAGCTCCTCTATCTTAATAAACAGCAATTTACAGGACAGGGTTATTATGTTATTATTATTATTATGTTATTTATATAGCACCAACAAATTCCGCAGCACTTTACAATGGGTGGACGAACAGACATGTAGTTGTAACCAGACAAGTTGGACACACAGGAACAGAGGGGTTGAGGGCCCTGCTCAATGAACTTAGATGCTAGAGGGAGTGGGGTAAAGTGACACAAAAGATAAGGATAGTATTAGACTAATGATAGTAGCAAGAGAGGAATCAGTTGGGAGCTATTAACAGTTTAATTGGGTTAAAAAGACATGGGCACTGCACCCAGACCACTTCACTGAGCTGAAGGCGCCTGGGTGACTTTAGAGTCCTTTTAATGTGGCACTGTCACTTGAATGCATCTTTCCATAAAACAGTTTAAAACAGTAATGCAACAGTCTGCTTAGCTGGAATTACCTAATTGTTTCATTGTGGAGGCAGCCATTTTGAATGGCGTCATCATTTTTAAACCCTTACAGACAGTTGCTGACAAAATAAATATAAACTATAGAGCTATAGGCTATAGAGATCATGTGAGATGTGAATCGAAGTCTGATTTGCAAAGTAGCTCCCCGCATTCCATTGTCCAGGATACAGGATATGGTTCTTTTGAACTCTCTGTTGATACTCTATGCTCTATGCTGTGTGTGTTAGCGTGAAATCTTTTATTTGATAGTATGATAAAAGAAATGCTAACATGGGTTATTTACAAGTTTAAGAAGTTTTTAACTGCTATTTGATACTATTAATGATGAAAGGGCCATTTTAAATAATACAACATTATTGTAGCCCATGGAGCAGTGCAGCTAAGTGGAATGGGCCTTGAATTGGCTAGGAGACAGGCATAGGAGGTGTTAATGTGGGGGGTTTGGCTATAGAAAGTGGGGGTGGGGTTTTGGATTATGGGAATATATATAGCGGCCATTTTAGATCAAAGGCCATCTTAATTAATGCTCATTTGCCTGTTTTGTGCCACCCTCCCTCCCTTTAAGTGGATTCTAGATCCTGTTTAGTCACGGCGGTGGGGGATGGATAAACAAGTTGGGGTGTAGGTTGTTTGTCCAGATGTAAGATAGTTTAGTTTGCTAAGAACTGTTAGGTTTGGATAGATTTTGGTTGGTTCGAGCTCGTCGGTAGTTCCGAACCTGGTGTGTGTAGGGTGGATCTTGGTATACCCCAAATGGTGGAACATGGTAAATCATGCACTCGGAGGCAATGGTTTAAGTGGTTAGATGTTATTTAAATGTTAATTATGTTAATATTGTTTGTTTATGAGGGTCATTGTCAGGGTCAAACTGTTAAAAGAGTTGGAGGCTGAGATGTTATGTTTAAATATGTTGACAATGACCTTTAATAATTTATATGTTTCATTTATTAATAAAGCTGTGATAATTTTTCCAAATATAAGGTGTCAGAGTATCCTTGTTTTTTTTTTTTTTTATACTGCATATGCCGAAAAGGCGACTATGCATTTGTCAAATGTGTAAAACTAATAATTTCACAACAAAATTGCATGGGTTGTTCAAGCCCCTTATCTCTGAGATTCACTTTCCACACAAAACATTAACCCCTTAATTTGATTATTTACATTCTGAACCCAGTGTCTCAGTGTTGCTTATATAATTAAACAGTGACTCCACTGGCCAAAAAAAAAAACAGCTATGCAAGCCCTCCCTTGCCCTGCCCAGACATTCAGTAGCTGTCCAATTACAGACTTTAAAAAAATGCAGCTCAATAAGGGGTCTTTGCAAGGCAGATGGTCTGGGCAACTGCTGCCTCTTGAATTTAGGTTCACTGAGCTAACCAAACCAGGACGTAACTTGACCTGTTTTCTAGTTAAAAGTTAGGGAGTGTAACAAGATTAATTTATAAAAGTTAGAATTTCTATTGAAATCTGCACTGTTTGTAAAATGAAAAAAGAGGACACACTCTTCACACTCAAGGGGTCTGTAGTTTCTATTTAAGTCAATTTGTAAGAGTCTTAAAGTAGTACACTATATAATCTAAACACATCTGCTGTGGTGAAAGTCATGTATTCCAACATTCTAGTCTTTGGGGATCTGATCTTATCCCATATACCTCTGTCCAGTAGGCATTTATTAGATAAGTAGTTTATCCCTCAACAGCACAGGATGAGTAGAACGACTTTGTAAACTGGTAGAATGAATACTGCAGGCTGTATACAATAATTGGCATAAGTGTGGCTTCATATCAGCTTTATCTCTACAGGAAGGAGAGAGAGATTAGTCCAAGTTGTACATGGGGAGTGCACACAACGCACACAGAACTTTTACAAAATTGACATAGACATTCCTGAAAACCAAATTTAGGCTGCTGGTTGACATTTCAAGATATATATATATATATATATATATATATTTTTTTTTTTTATAAGACTCTCTCAAAGTTGAAAGTGGGTGCAAGGTTTTACTGCACCATACACTTTGGAATGATAACAAAGTTGTTATGGTGCTTAGAGTGACCCTTTAAAGTGTATTTTGATTTCTATTCTATTTTCTGCTGGTAAGCTACACAAGAAAGAACATTTTTCAATGTGAATTCATTTACAGTGCTAGTAAAATGTCCTGCTTTAGATTTTGGTCCTACTTAACCTGTGTTAGACATTTAACCCCTTAAGGACCAAACTTCTGGAATAAAAGGGAATCATGACATATCACACGTCATGTGTCCTTAAGGGGTTAAAATTTAACGTAGAGTTTGCTGTGTTATTATCTTAGTCTTAATAATTAATAAAAGGGTGGAATACGTAATGTATTTGGATATTCATGATAAGAAAAACCGAAGAAAATGAATGGGCGTAGCTTGGCAGCTGAAATGATAGGTGAGTTGTCAGGTAGGTGTTAAAAGCAGAAATACGTTTGCCCAAGATGTATTTTATCTCAGGACAAAGGAAGGTTAGGGCTGTATATGATAAGGACACTTTGATTTTCCTAAGTGGATTGACATAGTAGGACAAATGATACTGAAAACCATTGGTGATCATTCTCAATGGCTTAACATGAAACAAAGCTTCTGAGAACTGAACAAAACATTATTTCATATAGGCAGCAGCATGTACATGGAATCTTTTTTTATAACATAAATCATACTACAGTTTTGCACAAATCAGTGCAAAAATGTGGTAATTTCAGGGAGAATTGCCAAATATGAAGAAAGATTATGTTTGTTTCCATGGTAATTGCTTTGTCTTTAGCAATTTGCCCAGATTTTGAGAGTTACAGAATATATTGTCTCACATAAGAATTTACTCACCTTCATATTTGCAAATTATTTGGAGTTGGCAACCCTTAAAGGACCACTGTAGTGCCAGGAAAACAAACTCGTTTTCCTGCCACTGTAGTGTTAATAGGTCCCCCCACCCTCATGGCCCCCCTCCTGCCAGGCTGAAGTGGGAGGAAGGGGTTAAAATATTACCTTTCTCCAGCACAAAGCTCCCTCGGCGCTGGAGATTCTCCTCCTCCTTCCGAAGTCATTGGCTGAATGCGCATGCGCGCGCATTCAGTCAGTCCATAGGAAAGCATTCTCAATGCTTTCCTATGGATGCTGGTGTCTTCTCACTGTGGAAATCACAGTGAGAAGCGCGGATTCGCCTCTAGCGGCTGTCAGTGTGACAGCCACTAGAGGCTGGATTAACCCTAATGTAAACTGCTATGTTTACAGCTGCAGGGTTAACCCTAGATGGACCTTGCACCCAGACCACTTCATTAAGCTGAAGTGGTCTGGGTGCCTATAGTGGTCCTTTAACCATTCTGATACATTTTCTTTATTCATATGGTATTCATAAACTCAGTTCACTCTTTACAACATCATAGAGCAAATGTCAAGAGCATATGAGGAGTAGTGGAGAAAAAATATTTAATTGTTTATGTTTTTATATTTTTGGGAATCAATAGGACTACTCCATGGATGTGGGCTCGGACCTGCAGCTCCATTAGTCCTTATGTTAATCCAGCCCTAGGTGAAGGTAATAATACCAAATAGAGGGGTATAGGTGCTCCCCTTTTAATTTCCCACAATATGAGGTGTAGGATGAGACCACAAATAGATGGGAATTACCAATCTCACATGTGCCAAACTACCACCCTCAACAACAATCCCAGGAAGATTTTGATTCACCCAGATAATAAGTTTGAAAAATGTGCCCCCATTAGCAATGCTAAAGAGATATGACGTGTCCCTGGAACTAAGTTTGCAAAACCCCTAAAGTAGAGCTACAGGAGGTACTCGGTCAATAGATATAGCGTCAATCCCTTCATACCTCTTATACCTGTAGATGTACAACTAGATGTTTATGCCACTTTTCTCTAAAATAAAATATTTGTAAATGTGTTCATATGTCAGATGATGCCTAACAGGGCATGTGTGCAGGCATGTTTTAATTTTTACAAAGAGAAATTAGCATCTCCTAACGATAATATAAAAGCAAAAGTTCCAAAATGGCAAAGAAAGAAGTTACCGTATATACTCGTGTATAAGTCGATCTCATGTATAAGTCGAGTGCAGTTTTGTGACCAACAATTGTGAAATATGCTATGCCTCGTGGATAAGTCGAGGGTAAAACTTGGGGCTATGAAATTCTGTGATTTTTATAATTATATACACACACTCATACAAACAAACACTCTGCATTATATATACACACACTCATACAAACAATCTGCATTATATACACACACACACTCATACAAACACACACTCTGCATTATATATACACACACACTCATACAAACAATCTGCATTATATATACACACACTCATACAATCTGCATTATATACACACACACTCATACAAACACACACTCTGCATTATATACACACACTCTGTGTATATAATGCAGAGTGTGTATATAATGCAGAGTGTGTGTTTGTGTAGTGTGTGTGAACTAGGTGGGGGGAGGGCATTTTTATTATTATTTTTTATTTGATTTTAATATTATAATTTTTTTATTATTTTAAATTTTTTTTGTCCCCCCTCCCTGCTTGTTAACTGGTCAGGGAGGGGGGCTATCTTAATCCCTGGTGGTCCAGTGGCATGGGCTGTGAAGTGGGGGCCGGCAGGAAGCATTTACTTACCTTTCCTGCAGCTCCTGTCAGCTCCCTTCTCCTCCGTTCCGGTCAGCTCCACTGTAAGTCTCGCAGTCTGGTTGCTGCGCGGATTGTTGCCATGGCTCTGACGGCCGCGGCTCTTTAAGTTGCCATAATACAGACAGTGACTCGAGTATAAGTCGAGTGGGGGTTTTTAAGCACAAAAAATGTGCTGAAAAACTA